TCATCTAGCAGTTACTCACAAATTTGAACTGGAAACTAGACAGGAAGTTTCAGACCTGGAAGACCGGAACTTCTGGACTATACTTAGGAAAATCTTTTTCACAAGACCGGAACTTCTGGACCTGAAAGACAGGAAGTTCCGGACTTGCATTTTTGGACAGATGGAGTATTGCAAAAAAAAAAGACTCCTAGGAAAACTTGACACTTGGTTTACACTAAGAGCACTTGATATATCTCAGAGCATCACCTGGAACCCCTCTTAATAGTACGGTTTTTCCTAAAAACTCGATTTCAGAAGATAAACTATCTTATGCACTTCTCGAGTTCCGGTCCGCTTTGATTTTGTACTTTTTTGGGGGTCTCCAAGCATTCATCTTCCACACCTTGGACTAATGCACCTGAAAGTCACTCAATGAACTCATTAGTCCCTTAACCACATTTGTCATTAATCACCAAAACCCACTAGGGGGATTAATGCACTTTCAGCAAGCATGTTATATTAGCTATAATTTTATAGTTTATTAAATTTTATAGCTTTCAAATGCAAGCATATTAAATCATAATATCACATAATTCACATAATATTTCAATATGCCTCTTCATCTTTTTTTTATAATATCTTATATATTATATACCTATATATAGTTCATCCTAACTACTAACTTAGTTAATGTGTGCGTTCTCTCTCTCTTTCTTATCTCATTAAGCCATATCACATCAATTGTTTTGTCGTTAGATGATTATCTATGGTTCAAATTATCTCACTCATTTTCTTCTCAATTGTTTTTAGCCCTTAGGTGATTAATCTATGATCCAAACTATCTCCCTCATTTTCTTCTCTCATAAAGCCACATTAACTTACTTTTATATTTTAATCATCATTCTATATCTATCTATCTACTACTACTTAAAAAGTAAAACCTGCTTCCGTCGTCCGTATAACGAGAAAAAGGGCGAATTTTTTTTTAAAAAAAAGTAGATCCAATTCAATTTAACGCGGAGAAAAAAGTCCCGTAAAAAGGCGATCAAAAAACAAAAATACCCCTGAAAACGGCAAAAAAAGAAAAAGTCCGATTCTTGAGTCTTTTTTCCTTCTGTTTTTTCCCTTTTTTTTCCGTTGTTTCCTTTTTTCCGTTAGTCCATTCTTTTTCGCTGTTTTTCCCCGTCCTCTTCTTTATGGTTTTTTTCCATCGGCTGGTTTTTTTACTCTCTTTTTCCAGTTTTTTTATCCTCTTTTTTTCATTGCCATCATTTTATATTTTTTTTCGCACGCAGAAGGGTACGAGTGGGGTAAGGATTTGTTTTTTTATATGCCATGTTTTTTCTTGCCCGGCCAAACCCTAGCGTCTCCCATGTGTTCCCTTCATTGATTGCAAAAATCGATTCCCCATAGCTCCCTTGTTATTTTCCCCCATAATTTTCCCTTTTAATTCCACTTTAATTCATCGAATTTAATCTCCATTTAAAAGTCATCATTTTTATCCTGAGTTTTGCAAATTCGCTCCGATTTTGTTAAAAAAGGAAATAAGGAGATCGGGTGTATAAAAAATCCTCAACCAATTTTGAAACATCGAGAAAGATTCGACCGGATTTGATGAGAATGATTCATTCAACCAGATTTGATGAGGAGGATTCGACCGGATTTGATGGGAATGATCGGTTTTGGCATCATACGGACATATGTCCTCCTTGGGTTGATGACGGCATCGTATGGCAGTCGCGTATGTGAGATGGACCTATGGCTCCACTCATCAGTTGGGTTGGGTCAAAGAGAGATAGACCAAACAACGAGCTGGACCTATGGCTACACTCGTCAGTTGGGTCAAAGAGAGGCGGACCAAGCAGAGAGAGGTAGCGGGCTGGACTGGGACTTAAAATTAGCTTATGGTACAAAACAAAAGAGTAAAATGTACAGTGATCCAAAAATATTTTTACCCGTTGGAACGCACGGACATTTTTTCTATACTTATATCTCTATCTCTACTACTTAAAAAATAAGAGATGCTTCCATTGTCCGTAAAAAAAAACCGGCGAAAAAAACGAGCGAAAAACCGTAACTGTCCGATCAAAAAAAGGGCGAAAAAAAAATCCGATTTCTTGAAAAAAAAGGGCGACAAAAAAACCGGCGAAAAAAACTGGGCGAGCGAGAAAAAAAATTGTAACTGTCCGATCCAAAAAAAAGGGGCGAAAAAAATAATCCGATTCCGTGCAAAAAAAAAGGCGATTTTTTTTGTAAAAAGAATCGGTCCGATTAAAAAAAGGAATCGGGCTAAATAAACCGGCAAAAAAAATCGGGCGAAAAAAAAATCTGATTCCATGTAAAAAAGGGTGAAAAAAATAAAAAAAAATCGGTCCGATTCCAAAAAAAAGAGAAAACGGGCGAAAAAACCGGGCTTAAAAATTGGGTGAAAAAACCAGGCAAAAAAAACAAATCCGATTATGTGGACGCGGTAAAATAAGGGCAAAAAAATGAATCTATCTAATTAAAAAAAGAATTATATATGACGCGGTAAAAAAAATCGAATCATATGTGACACGATACTATATCTCTATCTTCTCTACCTCCATCTCTCCTACTTACAAGATTGAAAACGTTTACGTTGTCCGTAATAAGTAATAACGAAAAAGGCAAAAAAACATTAAAACAAAAAAAAGTCTGATTCAATTTACTTCCGTGGTTTGTGAAAATCTTATCTTGTCTTAATCTCAATCTTTCCGAGGGGACCGAGCGGCGCCCTCCATACTCGCCCGTGCGATGAAACGCCGACCAAAGCAAAAAAAAAAACCCGAAATTGAGCAAAGGGATAAACTAGATTGAAGTTCCCAAAATTAAAAGAGGATAAACGATATTAAAACTCCCCTAACTCGAAAAGAGGGAATAGAAAAGAGGGAATAAAATAGATTGAAATTTCTCGACAAAATTCCCTAAATTTGAAGAACCCTAATTTAGGGTAAGAACCCTGAGAGTCAAAATCCAAATCAATTAAGCTAAGGGTTCGGGTTACTTAACAGACTTGAAGCCCCTAAGCTCACTGGAGCTTACCGGGAAGCGGCACTGCCGCACCTTCACCTCCTCGCAGTCGCGTTGGGTTTCCCGTGCGCGCGCTGTCCTGGAGCACCCCTCCACTGTCCTTGGCGTCTCCCCTCCCACCGACGAGGTCTAGGCCGCTCGGGGGCTCGTCGCTGTTTGCGCGCCCGCCTAGCCGGACCGTCGTCGCCCCTTTCGCCGTCATTCCGTTCGCTCGTCGCGGGAGAGAAATGGGATCGGGAGAGAGGGATTTGGGAGCTAGGGTTTTGCCCCTCTCTCCCGGTCGGCGTTTTATCTGGCGCGGGGAATATCGGAGACGTCCATTAGATCGGACGGCTCAAATATTGGCAACGTCGGGCCGCCGCTGCCGATTACGCTGCGCCCAATGGGCTGCGGAAGTGCATCAGACCGTCCCCGCATAAGTGGGCCGCGCTCATCTGCTCGGCTTACGGGCCATCGAATTGACTCGGTTTGCCGAAGATAGGCCAGCCTAAGTTTGGGCCGGCTTAGGAAGACCTAGGCCAAAAGCAAATTTGATCAAACAATGTGGCTTAGATTTTTTAAATTAAAATCCGTTGGATAAACTCCTAAGTAGGCTCCAAAAATAAATCTAAAACTAAACCCTAAATCCTATGCTAATTCATCAAATTAGACTCGGTTCTACCTATTTGTTAATATATCAAATTAGACTTGATTTTTTACCGTTTTAAGGTTTTCAAGATGTCACATTATCAAACGGTGTTTTTCCCGTTGCAACGCACGGGCACTATTGCTAGTACTATTTAAATTTAACTTATCATAAACCATATTAACTTATGTAAGTTTATATTATCTAGCTATCTTATACATTACTTTTACTTAGTGCTATCATAGTAAACTCCCGCAGCAATAATGATGATTCTTTTTATGTCTCTACGTGTACACCAAAGTGTGGATTGGGATTTTTAGATACCATCTTATTGCACATATTTGCAATATCCAAATTTTCTTATGTAGGAAAGAAAAACTCACATTTGATTGCAATTTGCTGCAACGTGTACAGTAGACTAAATGAGATGTACTCGATAGTTCAGTGGCAAAGGATACGTGGTTTCAACCCCGATGTCCTGTGTTCTTAGGGCTCCTTTAATTTGAAGGAAATATATATGAATGTTGGAGGATATAGGGTTTTTCCTACAGACTAATCAAACAGTTATTCATGTGTTTTGTAATCATATGTTATCTGTTTTATGTGTTTTTTCTATTTCTTAAATTTTTTTTCATACGATTTAAAGTGGCCTTAAAATTTATTTTAAAAAATATGTTTGGAGGAATATCTCTCCAAATCTCTTTTATTCTCTACGGTAGAACAAATGATCAAAATTCCCCTCACAAATGCGACCCATGATCATAGAGACCAACGGCCAAATCTTGAGGAGTAAATTTCACAAAACTACACGTTTTGTAGTCCAAGTTGTATAAAACCACACACACTTTGATACTTAGCACTTAAGTACATATATTTTGGTAGTGTAGTTTCACAAAACCACACTATCAATGAATAGATTCACCGGCGAAATGACGTGACTGTTTCACCTAGGATGAGGACATGGCATCCTATCACCAGCCATCGCACGAAATTAATAGGATGCCACATCCTCATCCTTGATGGAACAACCACGTTATCTCATGGGTGAATCCATTCATCGATAGTGTGGTTTTGTAAAACTAAACTACTAAAATATAATATATGTATTTAAGTGCCAAGTGTCAAAATATATATAAGTTTTCTGCGAGTGTCAAAATGTATAAAACATGTAGTTTTGTGAAATTTACTCAATCTTGAGTCGGACCATCGTTGTCTCGTTCTCCTCTTCTTCCGTCGCCGGCGCGGGGAGCTGCTCGTCGCCGGCGCGCGGTGATGGCGGAGGACTCCGGCGCCATCCTCCGCCACATATCCTCCCTCAAGGACATGCTTGACAAGGTCCGTCCCGCTCTCTGCTGCTTCCTCTCCGTTCTCTCTCCTGCGCACTGTACTGGTAGTCACTAGCAATGGCGATGCGATGAATGCCTCAATGCCGTGGAAGTCTCGCGTTCGCTCTAGGTGGTCGAGTCGCCCGCCGCGGCGATTGGGCGTCGCCAATGGAGCGATCAGGTGGCCGAATCGCGCGTCCGCTTCGGCGATTAGGCGTCGCCATGGCGAATCAGTCGTCCGAATCGCCTGACTAGGCGTCCGCTTCGACGATTAAGCGTCGCCATGGCGATCGACTATATTTTGAGAGAGAGAGAGAGAGAGAGAGGGTTGGGGCACGAACACATCGTGGGGCTGAGGGGAGGCGAACCCTAGCCGCCGCCGCCACAGCCGCGACCGTGGATCGTCGGCGTCGAGCCATCCCCTCCCTGCGCACTTCCTTCCGGTGGCCACCGTCGAGAGCTCCTCCCTCCGCTCTTCCTTCTGGAGGCCGTCGTCCCCAGCTCCTCCCGTGCCGGTTTGCTCCTTTTCCGTCCAATCTCTCTCCTTCGCAGCTTCGCTGCTTTTTCTCTGTTTCTTGGTTTGCTCCTCTATCTATTCAACCCAGAATTTTCTTTTCTCTTTCTTCTCTACTTTCTTCTTCTGCTCTCTCCCCATTCCCCAAACTTCTTTTGTTTGCTGACTGTTATCTCATCTATTGCCCACATATCAGTCTCATCATGGTGGATCCATTCGCCAGCGAAGGGAGTCAGTATGACCCATCCAAGGATCCTGAACGGAAGTCTAAGTCAAAAGATCCGGGATGGAAATACTGCTTCTGGCCAGACTTGAGCAACAGAGATTTGATCCACTGCTCGCTTTGTGGCAAGCAAATGATTGCAGGATTCAAGAGAGTCAGCAACATCTTGCAACAGGATTTGGAGATGTGCAGTGCAGCGGTGCCCCAATACTACCACAGCTATCATGAAAGAGATGAGAGCATATCTGAAGAAGAATTCGAGAATTGGCAAATATCTCAACTTACACCCCTCCTCTTATCGGCCAATGCCAAGTTCTGAGACAGCTGCCAAAAGGAAACAAGCTCCTGACGCTCTTCAATTTGGACGACCAACCCCAAAACAAACAACATCTGTTGCTTCTATGCTTTGCAAGGCACCTGAAGAGGTTGACGAAGATATCCATGCCAAGGGGCCTTCTCAATCTACCATTGAGCAATGTACAAGGCAGTACAATGGAAAACAAATGGTCCATCAGCAAATAGCAAATTTGTTTTCTGAATTTGACATACCATTTGCTGCTGCGCACTCAAGGAGCTTTGAGACTATGGTTCAATCCATCATACAATTTGGACCTGGTTATAAGCCTCCTAGTCATCAGGATTGGTGGGTTCCGTTGCTTGTTGGGGCAAAGGAGACTACGTTGGGAGCCAGTGGTAATATGGGAGATTTGAATGAATCGGACGATGATATTTGGTAGTTAAGACCAGAATCATTTACCTATGATGTCATGCTAGTATACTATTATGCTGTTTATCTGTCTCGGAGAACGCTGATGCTTATGACCTATGTACTTTTGGTGGATGATTTTTGCTATATTTATTACCTTTGATAACTTCTACTAATGTGCAATGTTGGTATGTTTCTGTATTATTGTTTGCTAAATACCATTGCTTGTACTTGTCACCTAGGCATCTGCCTAAATAACTAGGTGTGCAAAGAGGTGCTTGACTCTCAGGTGCTATGCCATTAGGACTAAGGAAACATTGTCATTCCTGTTGCAATTTTTATTGCTCGAGCTATATACTGCAGTGGCTTTGTTTACCATTGGTTTCCTGCTTCCATAAATGGATTCTTTACTTGTACTGAGAAAGAGGTGGTGAAATAAATAGATCAAGGGTAGATATTAATTATTCTTGAGCTCCACTGTTACATTTTTTTTTCAGGATGCAGATGTCCATTAAAATTGGAGCTTTCATTTGGCTTTTTTCTGTTTGGAGATGACTTAATTATGTATGTGTAACTGACCAAGTATTATATTTTAAAACACATATCTGGTATTGTCTTTCAACTGAACAGGATGCAGAATTTCTGACTTGGACCTATGGCTTTATGATCATCTATAGTTTCACAGAAGCAACGAATTTTGGACTTAATGTATAGTACTAGCTTGTAACTTACTGCGATAAATCCAGTACTCTCTCTTCAAGCAAATGTCCTCCTCTGGCTGTAGAATGGGAACATGTGCAACATAATGCAAGGATGATTTTTGAGTGTGAAGAACTGAATTCATCATAGTAGCGCGTTGAACTTTTTCATTCCAGATCTTATGCGTAACTGTGCTATATTTTCTCTGTTATTCTTGAATTAGGTCAACGAAGAGATTGAAGAGAATATTCAAAAGACAAGGGAAATAGAGTCAGAAATAGTGAAGCATTCTGAAACTGAAAAGGAGTATATCATGAAAGAGTCTGAACTAATGAAAGGGGTATCAATTGCTGAGTTTGAACTCAATGGCATTATACAAGTGGCTGGTAATTATTGCCTTTATTCATGCAGTTATTAGCTCAGTGGCAAATATCTAAGCTGTGGTTAACTTGCATAGTATATCCTTGATAGCAGTATGTTTTAAGTACGATAGCAGTAATTTTTTGGACAAAGGTTATTAAAGTTGCTTCAGTAATTCCCTTTTGAGGCCAAAGATAATCTTGCTCTTCAAAACTTGAAGCTAAAATATTGTTTTTTCCCTTGATTATGCAACTGAAACTTAACCAATTTATCTCGACCTTAACTTCAACGCATGTGGCTAGGAATGTATCTGCATGTGGACTCTATTTTTCAGATTGTACTCTCTAGCAACACTGATCTTGTATCTTTAACCTTTCTTCTGTCATTTCTAGTGTAGATTTATGTCATGCTTTCCGTACAAGTTATGGTTGTTTGTTACTAGAAGCTTAGCCTTTTAAGTACATTGCAAGGTTTTTTTTTATGTAAAATACTGCAAGGTATTATTCCAACCAAGTCCATTCTGTCATTTACTTAGTGTTTACGCATCATAGTTTTCTTTCCTAATCACTGTTCCCCACAGTGATCTGTATGTTAATGAATATTATTATATATCACACAAATGTTTCTCAAAATCCAATAAGACCCATCTACATTTTGCATTTGAGTTATAAAATTTGATTATCTGGAGACAGAGGTTTACTTTCCAGTTCTAAATACACTTTCACTGTAATCTTGTGAGAGCAACAGCTTTCTGTAGATGTGTAGCTTTGGACATGTGTTTGGTTCTTTATTTCATTTTTTTAGTGGAATTTGGCTATTTGTTTAAGATTATTCCATTAGTTGGATCTGCACAATTACACTGTGTGTACTGCAGGGACCCTCATGAAAATCACACCTGCCATTATCTCATTTTCTGCATGCGAATCCAACACATGATTCGCATTGTTGTTCTGTGCTAATTGTGAACTGGGTGGTTCTATCTTAACAAATAACAGTAAAAAAGGCACTTTCTTTACTGCTGTTGATAGTATTCTTGTGTTATTTTTTCATGTCTCATGCTGGATGGAATTTTCAATATTGTGGTATGAGTACTCTATGAAACACCTAATCATTTTTAGCTTTTCAAACAGCTGCTGAAACAGACTCACTTAAAGTGATGGAAGGCAATTTGGAATTCCAGAAAGCTACTCTGAATGGAATTAGGAAAAGATTTTCTAATAAAATGTATGGTCTACATTTGGTCCATTGATGAGATCAAATGGTTTTCAGCGTTCTGACTTATATTGAAACTTTACAGCTCTAGTTTTACATCAGATAATATGACGTTTTTCTTGCATTTTCTTGTTAAATGGGAAACCTTCTCTGTTCCTTCAAAGTGCTGCAATAGAGTTCATGTACTAAACCACTATTACGAACAGCTCCGTGTACTGTGACTGATTTAACCACTGTCATGATTCCAAATTATTCATGACTTGGAGCTCACTAAATTCATTAAAATGATTAGATAGTAGGATTGCAAATATTTATTCTCTGCTTCTTTTACTTCCAAAAAGAGCTGAACAGGAAATAATGCCTCAGATTGTTTACATTATATTTATCAGGGAAAAGTTCATCAATGAATCTAAGGGGTTCCAGGCTAACATGCTTGGAGATTTGAACAAGGATTTAGTTCTTTTACTTAAGGAGAAAGGTTCGCTAGGGGATGAGAGTGAGAACTTGAAAATGAAGATCAACGCAATAGAAAGTTCGTCACGTGATTACTTTGCTGACATTCTTGAGGAGCTAAATATGGAAAATTCAGGTAATTATTGTGGAGGTTGTTTGAGCTCAAAATTTTAATATTTACTTCAACCCTTAGTTAATGTTTTTTGATGTTTTGTTACAAAATCTTTGTTTGTATTAATTATATTTAATTGAATTGCATTATATGTTGCTTATTTTATTAACACTATTATTGTACTAAAGTTTAGGAAGCTCTATCTTTTGAGGCACACTGGTATTTCCAGGGCTTGTTCCACAGTGCACACCATCATCTGAATATTTAAACATTGTACATAAGAATTGATAACTTTATACTGAGTTAAATTATTTGTCTTGCCAACTTCTCTGAAGAAAGTACTCAACTCACTTTGTATGATGAGAGGAAAATAATATGTAATCTTTGTGACTGCATTGTTTCCCTTTTTCTCTCTTGTGTGCAGTGCGAGATTTGGTTTAGCTAATTTGTTGCCAGAAACCACTTTACATATCTTCTATTATTTTGCCATAACCTGCAACTATGTTATGTTCTGTCACTGATTGCATTTTAGACTTTCCCTTCTCCTTTAAGCGTGGAAATTTATGGTTGTTTGTGAACCGATATATGTATGTAAATTGTGATTACTGCTTTTCTGTCTTGCACCTACGTTATAACCGAAGTTTACCTTTTGTTAATGGGTTTAATTGATGTTGCAGTTTTGGAATCTGAATTACAGTATAAGATTTCAGAATACATGGATGTTATGAAGGATATAAGCAATCTGAAGGCTCTATTTAGTTCGATCAATTCTTAGTAACAATATTCATCGGTGGAGGTAACTGGATGTTTAATTAGGCTCGACACGGTTGTCTGTGATAAAAAATACGAAGTTTTTTCTGATTGGCTGTTTTTGTTCTCCTGCGTAGGTATCCTACCTAATCACGAAGTATATGTAGAGGCATAGCATGTAGCATTCTGGCTGGAGTAAGAATTCCCAATTTTGTTTTAGAGCATTCCTGATTTTTCTCCGTTCAAGGAATCATTATCTTGTATAGAGCAGAGTGCGAATAAAATCAAATTGGTTTTGCTTTACAAATTGGCCCTTGCACCTATCAAATCAAATTGGTTTGGCTTTACTGGGCCACCTCTTGTATATTTTCTTAGATCACCCGTGGCAATGAAATGAAGATCGTCCACATTGCATCAAGGTGAATCATCGTAAAAAAAAAAAAAAAAGAAGACCAAACCGTAAAAAAAAAAAAAAAAGACCAAACCGATGCTATGAAACTCTGGATTCCTGTGGACTCATGGTGCCATACTTCCATGTAGTTATAAATGTTTGCCATAAAGTTTATTGGCATACTAAAATATCGAAGAAAATTTGCTCTTTTGCCACAACACCATATGAAACAACATACTCCCTCCGTTTCGAAATGTTTGACGCCGTTGACTTTTTAGCACAAATGTTTGACGTCGTTGACTTTTTAGCACATATTTGACTGTTCGTCTTATTCAAAAAATTTAAGTAATTATTAATTCTTTTCTTATCATTTGATTCATTGTTAAATATATTTTCATGTAGGCATATAATTTTACATATTTCACAAAAGTTTTTAACTTTTGAATAAGACAAACGGTCAAACATGTGCTAAAAAGTCAACGGTGTCAAATATTTTGAAACGGAGGGAGTATTTACCTATCTATCTCCCCTCCTTTCCTTTTCTATTCTTCCTTCTTCATCTCTGCCCACGGCCGTGCCTGAGGATTGTAAGGTAAAACTATATTGCACGAAAAATAAGAGAGAGATCCGCCCAATACGGCTGCCACATAATACAAACATGGAATTCAAAATATAACAGCGAGTAAATACAACCAATCGTGTTGATTGGGAGAAAATCATGTGTAGTTGTCGCGAATCCAGTTAGCTGTATTGGCTTTTGTTACACTGTATGTATATGGATTCAACTCTAAACTAACTTGATCCTTGTCTTTGAATTGCAACAACAATCTCATTACACCTTGCACATCTATACGAGTTTGTGGCTGCACAACGTGTTTGCAGGCAGTAATAGCAATACCTGAAAAAAGAAAACGACATATAGAGGTTGGGATTGGGATACGAAACTGGCACATTAACAGATCCAGATTTTGTGACCTAACATGCGCACATGTACTGTCATGCAAAAACTACTCCAATTGATTTTTCACAGTTACAGTGTTGGATAATGTATGTCAAGGACTAAAATTTTGGTTTTAGAAAGCTTCAATTTTTTTTACTCCTACCCTTTTTTTATGAGCAAGTATATGTGTACTGAAATGATACTAAACAGTACGATGATTAGCAACTGTCATCTCTGACTATGTAACATGAAATGAGCTTCTTTGAACAAGTTATGATTGAAAGATAAGAGATGGAGAAAGAAGAGCACCTGTGTTGACATGGGAGAGCTTCGAAGGGAATGCTAGGACTGGAGCGACATATAGGGCAGTCTGCTTCATCGCCAGAAGAACTTGCTGATTTATCTTTGGAGAAAGGTAGAAGAAACTTCTTTACTGAGGATGAGTTTAAGAGGGGAAGAAGCAAAAGCAACATTTCCTGGACAATAAAGCAAATATCAACTATCAGCTAAAGTTCTGTAAAGTAAGTTACTGACATTGTCAATACTATTAATGCAAAAAAATACTGAACATCAAGTCACTAGCAATGCAATCATCAATTAGCCACAGAATTAATACTTTCCAAAAAATAGATACAAAATGTTTTGAAAGCATCATCATTCAATAAATTGACTGGTAGCACTTTGACTGAGTTACATTGATCTTTGTTTATCAGCTCTCACCAGTCACCAGTTTGCATGTAAAGAACAGTGAACAATCATGGTGATACAGACATTTAGCTTGTACAACCAGAATTGTTACAAGGCTTTGAACAATTTGATTTACTTAAACCAATCCCATTTTGCTCCATGCTGCTAACATTAAGTCCATATTCCATTCTTTTTCCATGGGGCCCTTATAATCCATATTTGCTGATTCAATCTCCTCTATTACACAATTACGTAAGATTGATGATGTGACCACTGAAGCAAAACGTGGTGGGCTTGCAATTATTCAATGGGACAAGAAACTTTTTCCTAAGCTTTCTGATGCAGGTTTTTCAACACTGTTATCACTTATTCCTCTCGGCCACTGACCTGGTTGAGGTATCCAGCCATCACTAGGTCAGCAGTCGTACTGACCACATGTTGCTAAATTCAATTTTTCAATTTAAATAAATACTCCCTCCATCCGATAAATAAGGCGCAACTATCACTACCGCAAAGATCAAGAAATAATTATTACCAACTCTTTGTTTGATCACCCCAATAAATACAATGCATACATCGCAGTATGATTTAATAGATAGAGAGAACTTTTAGCACTACTCTACCCTTTTTATAAATGATATCTCCAGATTGGTACAAACCAACTTTTAGCACTACACTACCCTTTTTATAACATGAACAAGTATTTTCAATGTGAAATATCATAGGACTGAGAAAACGTAGAACTAAATATTCAGAGTGACAGGTCTATTATATTCTGGCGTAACTATAACTAGTGAAGAATACGTATCTCAGTGGAGCAGAAATAACATGCAATCTATAGTTACAAAAAGGATGTTTTAAAAATTTTATTCCACAATTTCCACCCGCCACTACTCCCATGTAGAGAAATGGTAGATGGGGAGAAAGTAAAGTCCGAAAATATTTACTCTTGTAAATTAGTGAGTTCTTTTTCTGAAAAAAAATAAATTAGTGAGTTGGGGGTGATTATGTGTTTTAAATCCTCATGGCTGCCTATATGTGGACATGTATGTATTCCTCGCAAGATTTTCTTTTCTTTTAATGGCATTCTTTGCAGATGTGCACCTCTGTCCTTCCTAACCAGTCCCTTCTGCTCTGTTCCACACATCCTAGTTCCCATCTTCCTATATGTCTCAAGGTTTTGTTCAGTGGTAGCCTTTGTTCGCTATTCCTATTCAGGTTCACATAAGAGCCTTTTTCTTTCCATCATGAGTTGAGTTTGCTTTGTGGTCATCTAAATATTTTTTATATTTGAGGAAAGTTTTTTAAAAATTTTATTTGAATCTTAAATTTATATCCACTGTAACTTTGTAACACGTTCGCACCACGCTAGTGTATAAAAAAACCTTAATCTACATAAACATGTATCATAATATTAATAATAATATTAATAATGGTTATGATGTGCTATTAACACTTATTCCTGAAAGAAATTTATTTTCGGTAATATTACAACAGTAAAACTGCCAAGCTTACAGAAATACAAGAGGCTAGACTTAAGGTTTCATTCTGTATGTACTCAATGTGAAAAGGAGGACGGAATCATGTACAGGATGTCAAATACATCACTGCATAAGATTGAAATTTAAATTATTAAACAAGAATGTATCAAGAGAGGCATACCGAAAATTCATTCCAAACCAGTTGCCGGTTCATGTACTCAAAGCTTACTGCCCTATTCATGTTGGGGCTCTCATAAACAAGTCTTGCTTTCAGAATCCTTTCAACAATAGTTTTATATCTGCATAAATACATAAGCAAGTCTGAACTCTTGTTTTCTTAAAAAAACATGCTAACCTAGCTCACTCAAGTAAACTATACTGTCACTGTAATTCATTAATTGTGGATGCCGACACTTTTAAGTCTATTCAGATAGACCAATCAGTAATGCCAAACTGGGCACCATTTGCTGTGAGTCTACGAGTAATTACCATTTTCACTGTCTCCTCAGAATAAATAAATGAACATAAATAAACAAGTTGATGAACAGTACCTTGCACCATAAAGAAATAACAAAAGGTTAAAGAATGAAGAAGCTCTGTATAAGCCTTCAGCATGCTGCACCAAGCCCCAAGCGCGACGTGCTAGTGGTCTCTAAATTATGAAAGAAAGTTATAAGAATAAAAAAAGGAATTAAATTTTTCGAATAAGTTCTGAAGATCACCTGTTCAGAATCACCCCATCGACGGAAAGCAGAAAAAGACTGCAAGCGGGACCATATATATTGGCCACCAACAGTGCTAATACAATACAAAACCTTTTGAGAAACTGAAAGTCCAGGTCCTTCCAAACCTGTTCTGACTGAAAAACACATGGAATTCATCAACACTTGCTAGGATAATATTACAAACAATAAGTCATTAGCATATCAGTAGCATTCCATAAAGCCAAAGAATGTAACGAGTAACAAAAAATAAAAAAGTTTTGGACCTGATAATGGGCCAAGACCTATGTAACCCCACACTAACCAAATAATCAAGAAGACAACACAGCCCAATCCACAAGAGCCAATTGGCCGAGCAGTTGCAACAAAAACATGGAGGGTAGACAGGACTATTTGATTTATATATACTGCTAAATGGAAACAATTACAATAGGCTTCTTACATAGAGGACTCCCTAAGACCTGAAAATTATAGATAATTTACTCCAAAAAATAGCTTGCCTAACTAGAAGATACCAGACAACAAAATAGATAGATTTCCTAAATCCTAATAACAAACCCTGTTTAAGGATGCTGCTACTGCAGGCCCTAATGGGATGGATGCACAGGCCACAAAATGGGGAAACCTAGTCATATTAGGCACATCTCAACCAAACAAGCCAGCTTGAAAAATAGTTAAGCGTTTGGACCATTTTGAACCTTCAAGAAGTTGACACATGCATTAACCATATTTATTTTCCTTTTTCTACAACAAAAATAATTTAGCTTGCATTATGAAAATAAAAAATTCCAACCTAGCTTACATTTAGAGTAAAATGCAGCAAGGATTCTTGCTAGGTGGGTGTAGGCTTGCAACTCATCTTGCAAAATGCTCAAATGAGTCAGGCAACTTGAAAGGAGAGTGGAAATACAGTCCGATGCATGTCATGTGGGGCTAATGACAGTGAAATACAGACCAGGTTGGCCTAAGGAACAACGTGTGGACAGAATACATACATGTTTCAGATCAATGTAATGTCCTCCTATAGGATTGCCATGCCCAACTTAATAGCCTAGGAGGAGTAAACTGCAAAGCTTTAGGCTCAGGCAACTGAAAATGGTGACATATATGCATTCATGGATTCTATGCTGCCCCCAGTTGTCCCTTAAGGGACCACTCTGGCAACAAGGTCGGTGTAATAAGCCACATATCATGTGTTAGGGTGCATATTTGCGTACCCTAATCAAGTTATGTGACTCTTTTGAGCATTTTGCAAGATGAGTGACTAATCTGCACCCAGTTCACAAGTTGTTGTACCAGCAATGTATTTTACTCATATTTGAATATTTAATTGGCTCAATTTGTTTCTTATAAAACTAGTAATTAGGATGATGCATCTTGTATTTTCATTAAATATTGTACATGCAACCACCGGATCACTTGTGACAGAATTGTAGTCAGGTTGTATATTGTGCATCTCCTGAGCTAGTGGATAATAACATGAGAAAACCCACGGTGCCCTTATCAAGTAATCATAAACATGTTGGTTCAAAAATTAATTTCCTAGAAGATATATGCAATCTAGTAACCCAGAACTTGAGGATTTTTAACAACATATTTTACTCACTTATAATATTCATGTTAGGGAAATTCTTACTTGAAGGTTTTGAACCTAAAGTTTCTTGGCCACATGCTCTTTTCAGGAGATTTAAGAACATACCACATAAATAAGCCCTTTTTCCTTTGAATAAATTAGTGCAATGATACTTAAAAATGTGTAGAATAGCATGTATTTCTGGACACCATGTCTTATTTGTCAATAAACAGCTAATTGGAAAGGAGACAGTAATTAGGTATGGCACATCCATATAAATTGTGATCAGCATTCTGTAGGTGCAATCATTGGTTTGATTCTATTCCCTATAGATAGTAATAAAATCATAATTTCCTGAACTAGCTGAAGACAAACTCACACCAAAGCGATCTGAAACCAGTGCAATTTCACCATAACACGTGATTCAACCAAAGTAAATAAGGGTATTGTAATGCAAGGATGATACACGATCAAAGTGTAAATATCCTGGTCGCCTGGTACACACTTTAGAAAGATCCAAACATTTCGTATGCTTTGGGGAGCTATAACCAGCATAGCAACTAAAGATAATGCCATAAAGTACGTACCATATACATTATACAGATCTGCTAACAATTGAGACACAATAAAGTAGCAAATACCTTCTTTTCCTGTTATGGGCGCTGCCCGTTCATCTCTATATCTCAGGTTCATGAGCGCATTCCCAGGAGTTGGCTTATCAACCCATATTGAGAATCTCCATATGAGGAACTCAAGGAAAGCATCTAATTCTGGCTCATATTGGAACAGGAGTCCTGGCTGGAACATATGTCAAACTGAAGGTAATAAGCTGATGCGCAAGCAATAAGAAATACCCATATCACCATGATTAGTAAAGGAAGTACCTTCACCAAAGAGAATACTTTGACTAACTGCTCTTTCAACATGGCGGACATCTCGACATCAAGCCTCGCAGCATCAAATTGGTTAACTCTAGATATTGAAATTGGGATAGCGATCTGTATCACACAAGAAATTCAACAATGCATTACTACCCCAACAATATAGTGAACCTTTTCCTGCCAGTTGTAGCAAACAGATCAAAAATCCGCTCTTTATTTAAGACCACAACTAATTTTTTTTGAATCAATTAATTGGGAAAACAGAGACTAGTGACTCCCCACTAGGCAACCATTTTCTTTTTAAAAAATCTGGATGTAGCTAAGAAACCTCAGACCTTCAAAGAATACTACTACAATCGAATATGTGTATTCCGATATGCTTGAATGCAGCAAAGCGGGCCTTTAGAACCCTATATTTCGTAAACAAGAAAAAGTACCCGATAGCAAAGTTTGTACAGTAAAAAAAAATAATCCCAAGAACAGAGGTGAGTTAGACATATCGGTACCTTGGATGAATCACGCATTGACTCCCACTGAGGGAGGAGTCTCCGGTACTCGGCGGCCCATGCATCCGGTGGTGGCGACGACGAGTCAGTGGAGGCGGAGGGAGAGGGTAGGGTTTCGGGATCCGTCATTATAGGGGGCGGAGCTCACGGGTGGACGCGTGATGCGAGCTCGAGCATGAGAAGCGACAGCAGACGCGAGAAATCCCCGCCTCCGGGGAAGGAAGCCGATGAGCGTGGCGGGCCGATCCGCCCCACCTGGTAGTTAAGGGGGGGCACGCGACGGCCGGCGCGGAGGAGGGAGAGGTCGAGAGGGGCGGACGGCGCGTCGCCGGCGGTGGGAGAGGCGGGGGTGGATGGGACGAGCAGCGGGCAGCGGACCAGCGGTGCGTGTCGCGCGGACGATCGAGGAAAGTGCGTGCGATTGGGGATTCGGTTGATACTAGTACTTGACATGGGCCCTTATGGGCCTTACCAAGAAGATAGTAAAATAAAGGAAAAAGTACATCGAAGGTCCCTCAACTTGTCATCGAATCACAAAATCATCCTTAAACCACGAAACCGCGTAAAACGTGTCCCCCAACTTACAAAACCAGTATCGACTAGGTCCCTCGGTTGTTTTGACTCCGGTTTTATCTGACGTGGCAGCTGACTCAGCGTGGGACCCACGTAGGTCCCACATGTCAGCCCCTTCTTCCCCTCCCCTCTTCCTCTCTCTCCTCTTCTTTTCTTTCTCTCCCTTCGCTCCAGTTCGGCGGGGCTTTTAACTATTTGCCACTCTTACGGATGTTGCTTAACGATTTGCCACTAGGCCCACATGTCATAGACACATGAGGGCCCACATGTCATTGACAGGATGTGGCAAATCGTTAATTGCCATGTCACAAGAGTGGCAAATAGTTAAATTTCCCCAGTTCGGCAGGCGGGAGTCCGGCGGCCGGTGGCGGCGACAAGGCGGCGTCGGCGGCAGCGACAACAGGCGACGAGGTGGCCGCGGCGACGGGCGACGAGGCCACCCGCTCCGCCTCCACATCGCCTCCGCCTACTCGGAGCGGGAGGCGGCCGCGGCCGACGACGACCTCGCTGCGGGACGCGCTCCTCGCCTACGCCCGCGCCCTCTCCCTCGTCGAGCCGCGCTTCCCCATCCGCCTCCGCCTCCGTCGGCGCCCCCATCCCCGCCGTCGCAGCCGTCTCCTCTCCGGTCTACCGGCCCCGGCGGCGAGAGCGGATCGCCGACGATGACGCCGACGTCACGGTCGGCTTGCCGCACTGCCTCCTCCGTCCACCTCCCCAGATTCGACGACGACGACAACCGCCGCGTCCAGCTCCTCCCCCGGCACTTGCCGGCCGCGCCCATCTCCGGCGATCCGACCGACGACAATGGACCTCCGCCACGCCGCGCCCATGAATCGCAGTTCACTCCGGCGTTCCGATTCATCCTCTGCTTCCTCGTTGTTTGCTTCTGGTTTGATTGATCGACCATGCCTCCCCTCGTGGCGCCGGTGGAGCACAAGGACGAGCCCTGCAGGCAGCGGCACGCGGCGGCGGCGGCGGCGGCGATGACAGCGGCGGCGGTGGCTAAGCCGCGGCAGCGGTCGGCGTCGTTCCACGGGCGCGGCGCGGCGGAGCAACGACACTCGTTGTTGAAGCAGCGGCCGCGGACGCAGCCTGACCTGCTCGCCGAGCATGTGGCCGCTGCACGTGATGGCGCGCGCCGAGTGGCGCGTGGCCGACCTGGTCGCTGCCGCCATGGAGCTCTACGTCCGGGAGGGGCGCCGGCCGCTGCTGCCGTCCGCTGACCCCGCCGCCTTCGGACTCCACTTCTTCCTCTCTCCCAAGGCCGCAACGACCGCCGCGATCACCGCCGCTGCCGCTCGTCCCCCGCCGGTTTAGGGATGAGAGAGGAAGAGAGGGGAGGGGAAGAAGGGGCTGACATATGGGACCCACGTGGGTCCCACGCTGAGTCAGCTGCCACGTCGGACAAAACCGGAGTCAAAATCGCTGAGGGACCTAGTCTATACTGGTTTTATAAGTTGGGGGACGTGTTGTATCCGGTTTTGTGGTTTAAGGGCGATTTTATAATTCGATGACAAGTTGAGGGACCTTCGGTATACTTTTTCCTAAAATAAATATTGGAAAACGTCTATTTTGTTTTCCTCATCTCTTGCTCCTTTGACTCCTCGTAGAATAATTCTCTCAACTGTAAAATCAAGTATAACACATCCCCGTTTTTGAAAACTGGATGCAAATCGACTCTTTCGATAGTTTAGCAGTTTGTACTGACGTGGCAGGTTGACTGCGGTTGACTCGTTAAATCAAACAGGTGGAACCCACGTGTCACTCTCCTCTCTCTTTTCCTCCTTGCACTCCTATCGCCATCGTCGCCTCGGCACTCGCGCGGCAACTAAAATGGTGATGCCTATCATGTTACTATTGTTCGTGCTCATCGTCGCCTCCACGACCGACACTACCATGCCGATGTTGGTGAACGAGGAGGTGCTAGGGCTGGTCATTGTCGGAGTATGGAACTCCTCTAGTGGGGAAGCAAGTACTCCCCCTTTGGAGATTCGACCAGGGAGTGCGTGCGTGGAAACAAGGTGATGCTCACGCCAATAGAAACGAGAGAGGCATGTGTTTTCTGGACAGATTCGGGCCACTTGGAGGCATAATACCTTACTCGTGTGTTCTTGGTGGAGCTCCTTGTTGGAAAGTTTACAAGGTGTTGGTCTACTTCTCCTCTAAGGCTAGGGAGCTCATTCCTCTTTGTATGGATGCTGTGTGATGATGGAGACATTCTAGGATCGGCTCTAACCCAGAGTCATCTCTCCCATTTTCAGTGACCTTGGTCCTCCTTTTATAGTTGCAAGGGGATATCACAGTGGCCTGTTTCTTACAAATGGGCCCCGGTACGGGGTTAGGTGTCTCTGGTCATATTGCTTCTTGGTGGTAGACCTAATCATCAGGACATGTGCCAGCTGTCAGAAGAGAGTGTTGGACGATTTATAGGCTAGACGTGCGGCATATGGCAGTCAACAGTGCCGCCTAGTAGCCCACCCCTTTCCACATAAGGGTAATGAAGGCTTATCGTAAGGTTGGCATGTGTTGTCTTGTCGTGTGTTGTTCCGGTTGCAAGTTGGGTGGGTATAGTTACCTCGCATTAAATACTAAGCTTGACTGGGTTGATTTGTTACTGTGTTACCCCATGTACATGGGGGCAGGTGACAAACGTACCCCGAGCATCGCCCCCGGGGGCGAATGTGCCCCGAGCTCTGCCCACGGGGAGCCGCATCCCGGGGGTTGATATGCCCTGAGCAGCCGTACTCGGGGGCTAGTGTGCCCCAAGGATAGCCCACAGGGGTCATGCTCGAGGGGCAGGTGATAGGGACGCCCTGAATAGCTCGTGATGGCCATGTGGATGTAGTCCGACGTGACGCTGTCAAGCCGATGTTCAATCATGTTCAAGCCGATGTTGTTTGACCCAATGGGCGTGTTGGCCATGTGGATGTAGTCCGACGTGACGCCGTGCGGATGGGAGCATGTCGAGTGTGACCTGACCACGTCACGCATGTTCCGATTCGCACTTGATAGGTTCGGGCTCTCCAACCGCCACTACTGGAAAAGTGGTCTTTGCTGGGTCGACTGTTTTCCACAATAGTCCCGGTTCTTATTAGAACCGGGACTAAAGATTGTTTTTAGTCCCGGTTATAAAAATTTTGATCTTTAGTAAAGATCATTTTTTGTCCCAGTTCATGGCCTGCCAGAGGCATATCAGGGTGCCAAAGATCTTTAGTTCCAGTTGATACTACCAACCCACTTTAGTCCCGGTTGGTGTTACCAACCGGGAGTAAAGATTATTTAGATCTTTAATCCCGGTTGATAATACCAATCGGGACTAAAAATCTATCTTTAGTCCCGGTTGGATACTCCAACCAGGAGTAAATATTTCTCTCCCATATCTAATCGGTTAAGTCCCAGACAAGACTTCCTCCTCACCGAGATATTTAGATAAGATTGCATCATCCCCTCTCCTCCTACCCCTCAGATCTCCTTCCTCCTTCTCCCCTCCCCTCTCCTCCTCCCCCCTCCTCCCCTTCCTCCTCCTCCCCTCTCCTCCTCACATCCGGTGGCCAGCGTCGGCGGGCAGGCGGCCAGCGGGCGGAGGGGCAGCGCGCGGCGGCCGGGCCACACACGGGGCAGCAGGCGGCAGCGCGCCGGTTCTCTCCGGCTTTTTTTTTGATAATGTGTGATTGAGAGATGTATAATTCATTTTTTTAGAATTTGTGATTCATTGCATAGATCTAAGATGTATAATCGATCTGTGATGTATTTGATTTGTATGTAATTTTTTAAAGATTTGTGATGTGAATGATTTGGGATGTTATTTTGATTTGGGTATATGCATGGCACTTGATTTAGGGATTTGGTGTTTGATTTAGGTATATACATGGCACTCGATTTGGGAGAAAATAAAAAGAAAATGGACCAACCGGGACTACCCCTACCCTCTCTTTAGTCCCGGTTGGTGTTACCAACCGGGACTAAAGTTCCCTCTCTAAAGATCCAACTTTACTCCCGGTTATTTCACCCGGACTAAAGATAGCGGTCTTTAGTCCCGGATTCGTAGTCCCGGTTGGAAAACCGGGATTACACGGGGTTACAAACCGGGAGTAAAGACATTTTCTCCACCAGTGTGCATGCCAGGTAGGCTTGACCACCTCACCGCGCTCCAGTCGCTCTCCATCGCCTGCAACAATCTCTAATATTTGCCCCTATGCTTGCTCTTCCTGATTTCTCTAAATAATTCATTGTGGAGACTAATTCTAGTGATGTAGGTATTGGTGTTGTTCTTTCCTAAGATAAGCATCCTATAGCTTTCTTGACTAAGGCCATGGGTCCCAGAAATCGGGTATTGTCTACCTATGAAAAGGAGTGCATGGTAGTCCTCCTAATAGTAGAGCAATGGAGACCTTATTTTCAGCATCAAGAGTTTACCATATTGACTGATCATCATAGCTTGATCCATTTATCAGATAAGAGGCTTCACACACCTTAGCAGGAAATAACATTTACTAAATATTGGGTTTGAGTTACAATTTTGTTTTACAGGAAGGACACTACCAATTCAGCCGCTGATGCTTTATCAAGAAAGGATCAAGACCTATCAAAAAAAAGAAAGGATCAAGAGGAGTCGGTAGAATTTATGGCAATTTCTTCTTGCACGCTCATGTGGTTGCAAGAAGTTATGACTAGTTATGAACAAGATCTCTATTCTTCCCAACTGTTGTCTGAGTTAGCTATTGACTCCACAGTAAGACAACACTTCACTCTGCAGAATGGCCTCCTAGATACAAGGGCAGAGTGTGGGTGGGAGACAACAAACAATTATAGCGGAAGTTGATTACTGAGCTGCATAACAATCCATATATAGGAGGACTTTCTGGCTTCCCTGTAACATATAGAAGGGTGAAGCTTTTATTTGCCTGGCTAGGAATGAAGAAACAAGTTCAAGCACAACTCAAACAGTGTCAAATCTGTATCCAGGCTGAACCAGAGAGAGTGAAAATACCATGGATTATTTCAACCACTTCATGTTCCCGAAGGGGCCTGGCAGGTAATCTATATGGATTTTATTGAAGGTTTCCCACTTCTAAGAGATATAACTGCATATTAGTGGTAGTGGACAAATTTTCTAAATATGCACATTTCCTGCCTCTCACCCATCCTTTTACTGCTTTGGGGTAGCCTCAGTATTCATGAAAAATATGTACAAATTACATGGTATGCCTAGGGTGATTATAACTGATAGGATTCACTAGTCAACCATGGGAGTATTTGTTTGCAAAATCACGCACTAAACTCCACATGAGTTTTGCTTATCATCCCCAATCAGATGGCCAAACTGAGAGAGTAAATCAACGCCTAGAGATTTTCTTGAGATGCTTTATCCATTCAGCACCTTCTAAGTGATCAACTTAGTTGTATTGTACTTAGCTGAATTTTGGTACAATAATTCCTTCCATTCAGCTGTACACAAGACACCTTTTGAAATTAAATATGGATATGCTCCCGCTCATCATTTTGGTATTGCTATGGAAGATTGTTTAGTGCATGAGCTGGAAGTATAGTTGATAGCAGACATTTGATGTACCTAGTGATCCAATAGCACCTACACAAAGCCCGGCAATAGACAAAAGATTATGCTGACAAAAAGAGGAGTTTCATGGAGTTCCTAGTAATTGGGTATATTTGAAGTTACAACCTTATGTGCTCATTTATAGTTCATCATGCTAATTAACCACAAGCTGACTTTTCGATACTATGGTCCTTTCCAAATCATAGAGCGGGTGGGTTATGTGGCTTAAAGTTGTAATTTCTTCAGACTGCTGCATTCATCTTGTGATATGTCTCTCAATTGAAGGCCGCCACGAGCTTTGTCCCTACTATCCAGCAGCAATTGCTGACTTCTTGTGATCCATTGCAAGTCTGTGTTGCTATAAGAAAGATAATTGTGTGATTGTTCAATTGCTAATCCAATGGTTAGGTGCACCGGCTGCTGGCGTCACTTGGAAGGACATGGTGGACTTGCACGTGCGTTTCCCACGTGCATTGGCTTGAGGTTAAGCCAATTTTCAAGGAAGGGAGGATGTTGGGGAGGCTATGGTGACGATGACTACAACATGTGCTCCCTCGAAGATGAAGTCAAATAAGGTGTTGGCAATCAAGATGACGAGGAACAGAGCGGTACAGCAAGAAGGTGCCTTCACTGAAGAGAAGCAACCACACAAGAACAATCTAAATATCACGGGCCGATGTGGACTATGTAACGATTGTTCTATCTTGGGCCAGTCGTGGCGTGCCTACGGAGGAGAGAAGGTAGGTGAAGTATAACTGTACACCGTCCACTGTTAGCAAACTGAACTAGAACCTGGCGGCATTGGTGGCGGCAACTCCGTCTTGTTGGGCGAGAGATAATTCCAAAATCTATTCCAGATATTTCATGTGTTCCTGTGGTGTTCTAGTATTCTTCCTCCTGTTTTGCGAGATGCGCTAACATTCTTTAGAATATATTTATTAATATGGATATGAAATTGGGCTATGAAAGCTTCTAATCAGTCTATATGTATGGTAACAATCTGAAAGAAAATGAACATATACAAATTGTCAAAAAAAGGGATTGCTGCTTCTTGCTTTCGCTAGGTACATTATTGTACTATCTATTCTTGCAGACGAAGAAGGCAAAGGTGTTGAGATTCAGAATCAGTACATTGAATAAGACGGGCTATTTTTCTTACAGAAAATTTGAAAACCTTCATGCCACGCTTGTCATGGTTAATTAATTGTAGAGTGGTATGTAGCATAAACTATTGTTTTAATCGATGGAATTTGCTATGCATTTCATGAAGAAGTTCTAATGGGTGAACATGGAGGCTTGAAGTTCTAATTGCCTAGAAAACTTAAAATCTGAAGATATTTTAGTGTTTTTTTTTCGGGAGCGTATCCTATGCACACAGGCCCTCGCGTGTACACACCGTGTACACCAACTAAAAATTATCACAAAAAATTCTAGGAAAATTCATACATGTACTTTCAATAGTATTACATCTACATGCAAAGTCGCATCTTCAAATTCATTCTACATAGAGAATAACAAAAAAAGATAAAATTATGACAAAATTGCAACCTTAAAACTGTCAGATTTTTTTTTGTTACGGCTAAAATATAATGAATTTGATGTTAAGATTTTAACCCTAGGTGTAATACAATTGAAAGTATGTGTATGATTTTTTCTAGATTTTTTGGTGACATTTTTTAGTTGGTGTGCACGTGTGTACACGTGAGGGCCTGTGTGCATAGGATATGTTGGCTTTTTTTTCAGCATGTCTTGTTAAATTTTATCTCGTAGAGGTATTCTTTTGGTATTATAAACTCTGCATGGTATGTATAGGCATTTTCTTGAGACATTTTAAGCTTTGCATAGGCACTTTCAAAACTAGATATTAGTAACGCAAGGTACAAACGTACCAAATTAAATTATTTTTGTTAACTAAAACATCAAAAGTTTTCTGGCCACTTACAAGAAGATAATGAGAACCAAAATATTGCACACTCAAGTAACTCATCAACCGTTGGTTCAAACAGGGTCCGAGAGCAGCAACCACGTGTTTCATGAAATATATCGCGCGATGTCAGGCGCCCGACGGCATAGTCGCATAGTTGCCTCCTGCCGTAATCTGCTCACCGTTCTGATTGATCCTAGGTGCTGCATGCCCAAATGACTTATCGTCTTGGCTAAAAATACTAGCATATGCGATAAATAGACACATATGGATGCATGCACAATGGCACACTCCCTCGTCTTTCTGCTGGCCACCACCCTCCCCGTCTTCCTTGGAGATAGGTGGCAGGTGGCTAGAGAGGGATCAAGGGTAGGAGGGAGAGGAACGGATCGCGCGCGCGCGACACGTACACCACACACATCCACTCACGGCACGGTACGGCCGGCCATGGCTCCTGAGGCGGCGGCGGCGGCCTTGAAGCCGATGAAGGCAACGTCGGACGGCGTGTTCCAGGGGGAGGACCCCCTGGAAGCGGCCCTGCCTCTGGCCATCGTGCAGATTTGCATCGTCGTCGTGCTCACCCGCGTGCTCGCCTTCTTCCTCCGCCCGCTCCGGCAGCCGCGCGTCATCGCGGAGATCATCGTACGTCGGTTCTTGTGAATAATTCTGGTCGCTTTCGATCGATCGATGTGTTCGTGGAAGCTAGGTTTTGATTGGTTTCTCGTGGGGTTTGGTTTGATCTGATGGTATGGAGAGTTCAGGGCGGCATCATGCTCGGCCCGTCCGCGATCGGCCGGAACAGCGCGTTCATCAACACGGTGTTCCCCAAGCAGAGCCTCACGGTGCTCGACACCCTCGCCAACATCGGCCTCCTCTTCTTCCTCTTCCTCGTCGGCCTCGAGCTCGACCTCCGCGCCATCCGCCGCACGGGAGCTGGCGCGCTCGCCATCGCCGTCGCCGGCATCTCCCTCCCCTTCGTCCTCGGGATCGGCACCTCCGTCGTCCTCCAGAACACCGTCAACCGCGGCGTCCCCACGGGGCCCTTCCTCGTCTTCATGGGCGTCGCCCTCTCCATCACCGCGTTCCCGGTGCTGGCGCGCATCCTCGCCGAGCTCAAGCTGCTCACCACCGACCTCGGCCGCATGGCCATGTCCGCGGCGGCCGTGAACGACGTCGCCGCGTGGATACTCCTCGCGCTCGCCATCGCGTTGTCGGGCTCCGGCTCGCCTTTCGTGTCGCTCTGGGTGCTCCTCAGCGGCGTCGGCTTCGTCCTCTCGTCGTTCTTCTTCATCCGGCCGCTGCTCTCGTGGATGGCGCGGCGATCCCCCGAGGGCGAGCCCGTGAAGGAGCTATACATATGCACGACGCTCACCATCGTGCTCGCCGCCGGCTTCATCACCGACACCATCGGCATCCACGCGCTGTTCGGCGCCTTCATCGTCGGCATCATCGTGCCCAAGGAAGGGCCCTTCGCTGGCGTCCTCCTGGAGAAGGTGGAGGACCTCATCTCTGGCCTCTTCCTGCCGCTCTACTTCGTGTCGAGTGGCCTCAAGACCAACGTCCTGACCATCAAGGGCGGGGACTCGTGGGGGCTCCTCGTGCTCGTCGTCGCGACGGCGTGCATCGGCAAGATCGGCGGCACAGTGCTCGCGTCGCTCATCGTGCGTGTGCCGCTCCGTGAGGCGGTGACGCTCGGGGTGCTGATGAACACCAAGGGGCTCGTGGAGCTCATCGTGCTCAACATCGGCAAGGACCGGCACGTCCTCAACGACGAGACCTTCGCCATCCTCGTGCTCATGGCGCTCATAAACACCTTCATCACCACGCCGCTGGTGATGGCCATCTACAAGCCGGCGCGGCGCGCCCCCCCGTACAAGAACCGCGCCGTCCAGCGCCCGAACCCCGACGACGAGCTCCGCATGATGGTGTGCTTCCACAGCACGCGAAACATCCCCACCATGATCAACCTCATGGAGTCGTCGCGTGGGACGCGGCGGCGCGGCATCACCGTGTACGCCATGCACCTCGTCGAGCTCTCGGAGCGGTCGTCCGCCATCAACATGGTCCACAAGGCGCGGCGCAACGGGATGCCGTTCTGGAACCGGCGGCGCAACGGGGACGGCGACCAGCTCGTCGTCGCGTTCGAGACGTACCAGCAGCTGAGCCACGTGTCCATTCGCGCCATGACGGCCATCTCCGACCTCCACACCATCCACGAGGACGTGGTCACCAGCGCGCACCAGAAGCGCGCCGCGCTCATCGTGCTCCCCTTCCACAAGCTCCACCAGATGGACGGCCACATGGAGTCCCTCGGCGACGAGTACCAGCACATCAACCAGCGGGTGCTCCACCACGCGCCGTGCTCCGTCGGCATCCTCGTCGACCGCGGCCTCGGCGGCGCCGCGCAGGTCGCCGCCAGCGACGTGTCCTACAACATCGTCGTCCTCTTCTTCGGCGGCCGGGACGACCGCGAGGCCCTCTCCTACGCCACGCGCATGGTCGAGCACCCGGGCATCGCACTCCACGTGATACGCTTCGTCCCAGAGTCCGGCGGCGGCGGCGCGAACGACAAAGCCGCGGCGGACGATGCGTTCCTCGCAGAGTTCCGCGGCAAAGTCGCCGGCGGGAACGACTCCATCCGGTACGAGGAGAGGACGTCCAGAGGGAAGGCGGACGTGGTGGAGGCGATCAAGGCGATGGGTCCGACCAACCTGTTCCTCGTTGGACAGGGGTCGCCGTGCGCGCCGCTGATGGAACCGAGCGCTGAGTGCCCGGAGCTCGGGCCGGTGGGGAGCTACCTGGCGATGCCGGACTTCTCGACGGTGGCGTCGGTGCTGGTGATGAAGCAGTACGACCCGACGGCGGAGCACTACGAACTCGTCGAGGAGGTCGCGGACACCGCCGTGGACATCGACACACCGGGGCCTCGTAGAGGGTGATGCCCTTAGTCGTAAGTCGTAATTAACAGGCATATACTTCTACTAATACAAATTGTGTAATATGATAGTGCAATTTAATTGTAGACGTATTTTCATCCCTCAGGAGGATGGACCTTGATCCTCCAATGTGTTTTTACATCTGTTGTACACTTGTAAAATACAATAGTTCTGGAATTTTATGAAAGCACTTGACACAATATAGTGTATATATATTGCTTTCTACCACTTCAAAGAAATTAAGTTTGAACTCCACTGACAAGACGAGCAAATAAAACCTGCTCAAATTTGCCTTAAATTCTGTAGGTAAATAATAGCCATTGTTACCAAATTAACATTTTCTTATTTTCTTCCCAACATCAACTTGGAATTTGTTTCCTTTCGCTTAGGGTTCTCAATAACGTTTAGGCTCGGACCCCGGGGGGGGGGGGGCACCGGCATACCCAGAGTTTTCGGGGAAAAAAATAGCGGTATTAGCCTGAAAGCTTGAATGTTTGATAGTTACCTGCAGTAAACCAAAGCCCAGAAAGCTCAGCCCAGGTGCACATACACCCATCTTTACGTATTTTCGTGTGGTTGGTGTGGCAATACGCACACGGTAAGGTTTTCGAGCGCTATAGCCATCTCCGTCATCTCTGTTGGCGGCGCGGGGCACACGTTGGCGGTGTTGCGGTGGCTGTGGCAGAGTCCAAAGCAGCTAAGACTCTGATGCGGTGCCTCCTGAGCCTCACCCTGAAGCTTTGCACGCGTGCGGTGGAGACTGGCCAAATCAGTTAATGATCTTCCCCTTTTTACATCCTCTAAATCTCTGATCCTCTCTCTATAGATGATTACATTTGATTGAGAACTAGACCGTGAATTCAATGAGTTCAAAGGCTAAAATCCTTGATGATTGACTTTTGATTTAGAACTGGAATGTGAAGTCAACAAGTTCAAAGATTGAAGGCATGTTTTAGTAATTTGTACAACAAGATCAAATTCAAACTGTCCAATATGAAGAGGAACATGGGCATTCTTTCTTTATTTAGCAAGCCACCCAAAAAAATTCTGATTCTACATCACCTAGGCCATGTCTAGAGCTTCACATTTCTTAGAGCAGGTACAATAGGCGTCCAATTGCTGGCGATAGCGATTCCACGTAGATTTGATGATGCGTTGGAGGAGAGAGAGCACGTTAGTGGGCGAGGCGGAAAGCGCGCTCCAAGAAATTGTGGGCCCAGCAGGTAGCATACACGAGTTGCGAGATGAGTCGGTTGATGCAGCGTCGCGGGTTTGCAACCATGAGTCCACGATTCACCCGCCGGTCGCCGGGGAGCTCCTCTGATGGTGATTGATGTTGTCGAGCTGGGGTCGCCGTCATCAACTGTGTGGAGTTGGGTTGCCGATGGTTCACCGTGGTTGGTGACGCTTGTGCCTACCGCGCTCGAGGTTGGTTCCACACTTAGATCTGGTAAGCACCTCTTGAATCCAACTAGTATCTAGCAGTGGTATGCACGGGCTCATGCCATGGCGATGGAAGCGAGGTTTGAGAGGGCATGACCATGGTCCACGGCCAGCAATGGTGAAAGGCCTTCTCGCCGGCGCTACCAGCCGAGATCGGCTTGTTCTCATGTTGAACGGCAGCTCCTTCCAGCGGCAACGATGCGTGATTTTATTTATCACACAACTCATTCGTGGTCTTGCTTGCTTCGATTTGATTTTTTAGACATCAAGTTTTGATCTTTTGATCTTAAATCGATCTGATTTCTTGTGTTGTCTTGGACGGGCTGGTGGAGAAGAAGAACAAAGAGAAAGATATGTGGGCCCATGTGGAATAAAATAAATGTGTGATACGTCAGATTATAGCCCACTTATTGCATCATCTGCTTGTTGAGTTTGATAAAAATGACGTGGAACAAATTAGAGTAAGCAATGGGCTATACTATTAAACTTGCTCTTATGGAGTTATAGTGATGCCAATCTTCATACTCCGGCTTAGAATGCACCACCGGTCTGACCCTAAAAATATAAGGGTTAATTGGATCACTGCCATTATAAATTCTCCAGTTTAGAAATATGCCATTATAATTTGTATATTTGTAACAATGCCATTACAATTTGATAACTTTTGAAGATATGCCATCACTTACCCTTTTGGTGCAGTTATAAAAAAAAATTGGACTAAATTGCCCCTTTCTTCTACCTTTCCCCTCCACTCTCCCCTTTCTCCCATTTCCGGTGAACTCCGGCCACGACGGTCACACCTCTGTCTCTGTCCCCATGCCGGCCTCATTCCTCTTTCCTCTCACCGCCGCTGCAAGCTTCCTCAATGCTGCCTGCCCTAGGTCGTTGCCCAGCCGTGGTCGCTGCCGAACTTCATCACCGGTAATCGCCAAGTGCAGATTGGAAGCTGCAGGTGCGAGGAAGCCACCGACAAGATACACACTCGAGCTCTGGTCATCCTCCACTTGAGCCACCGCGCTCGGAGAAACTGCCGCGCGGGGAAACCATCGATTGGATCTACACCCACAGCCGCCGTCGCTGGAGCCGCGCCTCCACGCGTTGCCTCCACCGGATTTGGAGGAGAGAGAGCACGCTCCCTCCCAGCCACGGATTTGGAAGCTGCTCGACTTCGCCGTTGGAAGCACCGCCGCACTCGAGCTCTGCTCGGCCTCTCTGAACACCTCATGAATGTCACGACGCGGGAGGAGACCTTGCTATCTGCTTGGCTTCGGCTTTGGCCCCTTGCCGGCAACATTGAGCGATGAGCTACTGCAGCTTCAGCTACTGGCATGTTCTTCTTGCTTGGGAAAGGAGCAGGGTTAGACGTAGAACAAAGCCCTCTGCAACTTCTTGATTTGCTCACCAGGATCGAAGGAGAGAGAGTGGGTATTTTTGTCCAATACATGAAAAAAACGTATGCTAATTGCACCATTACAATTACAAACAAAAGATAGTGGCATCGTTACAAATACATAAATTATAATGGGTATATTTTAAAACCCAAAAATTTACAGTGGCATAGATCTAATTAACCCAAAATACAAACTACTCGTACTATACTTTGTTGGTTGATTTTATCGGCTGATGCCGGTTAGTTAGGATAAGATTAAATTCCATTGGTTTCCTATCCTAACAAGAAAGAAATAAAATAGTAAGAGATAATTTGTTTTTGTGTGATCGGTAAAAACGAAATTGTTTTCTAAGGCTGCGCTCACAGACCAACACAAGTCTTTTCTACACACTTTGTCCTCACTCGTGCACACTTGGGAAGAATTTCTCGATCAGTCACCCATCCCGCTTAACCTTAGAGTTCTTTAGAGATCGGCTTCTGGAAAAGAAGTTGCAACTTGTTGCTATAAGTATTCTATTAATCTTATTAAGCACTGAGCCGGGATGTCACACTCTTAGTGTTATGGGAGAAACTTTTTGAGCATGACAATGCAAAACTGTATCTGGCAAACGTTGAGATGAACTTTAGAAGTTTGTCAAGACAAATGCTAAGTACAATTTTAGTGGCTATGCACATTTGCCGCCATAATTTAAAAAGTTAGCACAAGAAATAAATTACATGGCGTGCAAACTTAGTAGGATGGACATCACACATTTCATATGCACCGGTTGTCCATTTCATATGACTACGGTCATTTTTTTAGAGTTGTAATATTAAGACAAAGTGGACCATATTTATACTTGGTTCATCATTCTACAAATCAATAAGAAACGTAGTAGACTAAGAGGCAAACTGAGTAAGATCTTGTAAATCTTGTCATTTGATGGCAAAGATGAAGCTTTACTAAGGGGAGTATTGCAACTTCCAAATATAATAATAATAAAGCTCATATTCCTCGCAAGGGGAAATAAAATTGCCTCTATGTCTTATGCATACTACTTTTGAATTTTTCTTGTGTAAGTTCCTTGCAAGAAATAGGGACATGCTTAATGTCCTGGTTTGAGAAAGTAGTTAAATAAGAAGATTAATGGCATTATTTTGGGTTGAATCATTATGAAACGTTGTCAAAATTATGGCCTTATTATTCGGCAACATTTCTAGGGGAGAATATGTCACGCCCAGAAATTCATGAACCATAATTTCTAAGCTGAATGTGCATCAAACCCCTGTCCAGGATCAACCAGGGTACACAAACGACAATTGTTGACATACAGATCCACGTCTTACAAAAATATAAAAGATTACAAATGCAGCGGAAAAAGTAAAAGCGAGCTAAGCCTGAAGACTAAACTCCTGCAGCGAGGCGACTTCATTCCACAGGCAATCCTTGACGGCAGCGACGAAACCAATCTCTTTGAGACATCTCCAACTGAGAAGAACTTCAACTCTGGTGTGGGGGAAAAGAGAGCAAGACTGACTACTACCTACTGTACTCAGCAAGTCATCCCGAAAGAGAAGGTATGATGCAGGGTATAACCAAAGGAGGCTAGAGGTTCATTTGCATAAAGCTAGCATTTAAAAGCAGTAGTTGAAAGCAACAACACAGTTGCAGTAATTAATCAATATTAACCAATCACTACTCAATGCTACACCACGTTGAGTCAGGCCCAAACCACCACATGAACTAACCAGTTCATTAGCTAACTAGGGGTGAGACTAATCACGGTGAATCTGGTTGACCGCCCATAACTGTGGGCACGGCTATTCGAATAGTTTTACTCTGATCAGAGGTGTACAACTGTACCCACAAGACATAGCCCCACGACACATTTCCGTGCGCTGACATGCCACCACGACATACTGGAAAGAGGCCGTGACAGGACCCTTCGCATAACCCCATCTAACCGATCGCACCACACCTTAGGGTTCGCTCCCGTCCCCAACAGGCAATGGGCAGCCCCCCTTTCGTGCCGCGGTGAATCCGGAAGCCGATCAATCGGACACCCCGGTCGACCCAACTCCATCACGCCCACCCTCGCCTGGGTACGTCGGCTAGAGGAAAGCTACACTACAAGCCTAGCCGTTGCCCACGTTGGCTTGTGGTAAGTACGATAAGTTCTTCCAGGGCATCCCGCGAACCGGTCCTTAATTGCTGTGGGCACGACTAGCAAAATCATGCACCCACAGCCCACCATGTAGTGTATTTTAATTAACTAACACCATTACGGTGGCACTAAACCAAAGCTTTGCCAATAATCAAAATCTATGCTTTAATGTGATCCCCCTTTGTGTACTAGTTGAACTAAGCATGGCTAAGCATTTCCTAAACC